TAGTCTTCCTCCGATTTGATTATGTTTAATTAAGATGAAACAATAAAGCATTACTTTCTGTTTCCTTTTCACGCAACAACTTCCCAGACAACTGCTTCCTTGGGTTCACCCAGTTTTAAAATTTTCCTGTTCCACTTAGCAAACAAGAAAAAGAAATAAAAACGGATTACGGCCGCATCACGTCGAAACACCGGTTTCCGTACGAACGCAGAAGTTAACCAATATCGAATCTGGTCAGTAACTAGACGTGGTTCCCCTTGGGAATACCAGGTTCTGTAAGCTTGGAAGTGCGGGTGGTGTAAGTGATAGCGTTTCAGAATTGTAAGTCGGAGAGTCGAGTTCAAATTTCACTCGGTTTGGCTATATTCGGTCTTGCGCAAATGCACTTGTGAAAGGTATGAATGGACCTATTCTTCCCAGCTATGGCTTAATTAGTCAAGTTTGTATAGCCAAAAATCACTATTATCTCAGGAAAAATAACTTCTGTCTTAAAATATTTTCTGGCTTTAAATAACCTGGAATAGGTTCATAAGAAATAAGACAAAATTTTCAAACATTTAATATATATATTAATTTATATTACATTTGCACCCATTTAATATTTATATTAATTTATATTATAGTTTCACCCACTTAATAATTTTATATTGATTTATATTACAGTTTCACCTACTTTATATTTATTTATATTTTCAACCACTTAATATTTATATTTATTTATATTACAGTTTCACCCACTTAATATTTATGTTAATTTATATTACAGTTTCACCCACTTAATATTTATGTTAATTTATATTACAGTTTCACCCACTTAATATTTATGTTAATTTATATTACAGTTTCACCCACTTAATATTTATGTTAATTTATATTACAGTTTCACCCACTTAATATTTATATTGATTTATATTATAATTTCACCCACTTAATATTTATATTGATTTATATTATAGTTTCACCCACTTAATATTTATATTGATTTATATTACAGTTTCACCCACTTAATATTTATATTGATTTATATTACAGTTTCACCCACTTAATATTTATATTGATTTATATTACAGTTTCACCCACTTAATATTCATATTAATTTTTATTACATTTTCACCCACTTAATATTTATAGTTCCATCATCAGCAATCCGTCCCTGAACTTTATCGCTGATTATGTGTTTCACTGTCTCATCTTTATAGGCACGCTCCTATAATTTCAGAGGACCAAATCCTGGCAGTTGGTCTATCCTCTGACCTGGCTTTAATAACGCAAGAGGTGTGGCTTTCTACTGGCTGGTCACATTCAATACCTCAAAAATAAAAACTTCTAACGTTCAATCATCACGAAGCAGTCCCTGAACTACCTGTATATCGCGATGAACAGGTATTCTTTAAAGGAGGTGCCTTGCTTTGAACGCCTGTTGGGATTTCAGATCAACCCAGACCTCAAGTAGGACAAACGATTCAGCCTCAAACAAATCCCAAAGACCACAACGGTTGACAAAGCAGATTGAACCAGTGGATGAAGAGGGCTACGCATGACGGACATGCTACAGAAGGCGCCAATTGAAATTATAATCAGCGGTAGTCTGCTGCAGTTTCATAAATGGATTCTGCGTATTTCATTTCATATGTACCGCAGGGTAAAGTCATGAAATCAAGGGTCCTGGCAAACGGAAGTTCACTTTAAATAAATTCATGCCATCGGCACTTTCTTCTTCTCTGATTTTACCTCAACTCCAACCAACTCTTGCAAAGCCTAACGGCGATAGGGAATGGATGACGAGTGCAGGTTTTGTTGAAAATGATGACCATATTTTCTCTCTTCTTACTGATGATGGTTAGTCTTTCTTTGATCATTGTTTTTAATAATCTTTCTAGGACGTCCTGCAGTTTTCTTTCCGTGTCAGCCAGCAACACAGGGACATCTGTGTAATCTGATATTGGTAACATTACGCCTACTGATAATAAATCCTGATAGGATCTCCGGTTCCCTTGCATAGCGTCGCTGCAGAGCAGCGTTTCTCAACTATTTTTACCCTTGCGTAACCCTTAAAATAAATTGCATTTCTCAAGGAACCACTGCGCAAAAACAAAATTACATACCATATTTTTCTAGTTTTATTTTCATCATAGTTCACGTAGTAAATATCAAAGTATATATTTTTGAATATGTTATTAAAAAATATAACAATCATTAAAAGAAGAGGAAGAACTTTGTGGACTGCAGTGTGATCGTACATTCAAGATAAGATTTACAGACCTATCTCTGGACAAGTTCTGGTTTTCTGTGAAAGCAGTGTTTTCTAATATTCATAGGAAAGCAATTAATATGTTGCTGTAATTTTCAATGTCTTGCATGTGTGAGCAGACCTTTTCTTATTTAACAAGTATCAAGAGTAAAGACAGAAATCGTCTTCTCTCAATTGAGAATGAAATCCGTGTGTGTTTTTCTAAAGTTCGACCTCGAATTAAGTATTTGTGTAGCAAAAAGACAGACACAACCTTCACATTAGAGAAGCATGTTTCAGAGAGAGAGAGAGAGAGAGAGAGCCGTCCTAGATCGGACGGTAAATCACATCCAGCAGAAAAAAAATGGAATTGAAATAAAATTAAATGATAAAAGCAGTCTCTGAATCCGCCATAATACCAACGTTTCTCAATCAGGATTCCGCATAATCCTAAGGTTCTGCAAAACGTCCCCCAAAGGTTTCATGAGAACAGGTGAGATAAGCTAATGCACTTTTGACTTTTTATTTAATTTCATATACGTAATACTACTAAACACACCATATATTCTTGGTTATTGTAATATAGACATCATCCTCTCTAATCTCAAATGCTATTAAAAATATAACAATCATTAAAAGAAGGGGAAGAATTTTATCAGCTGCCATTGCAGTCGTACACTCAAGATTTACAGACCTATCTCTGGACAAGTTCTGGTTTTCTGTGAAAGCAGTGTTTTCTAATATTCATAGGAAAGCAATTAATATATTGCTGCAGTTTTCAACGTCTTACATGTGTGAGCAAACCTTTTCTTATTTAACAAGTATCAAGAGCAAAGACAGAAATCGTCTCCTCTCAATTGTGAATGAAATCCGTGTGTGTTTATCTAAAATTTGACCTCGAATTATTGTCGCCAATTCTACAATTAAAATGTATTTTTATACTTAGCTTTGTGTTGGTCATTTTGCTCTGATAATATATTGTTGGCCATTTTACAATGAAAATATATTGTTTATAATTTCACGACAAAAATGTATTGTTGGTGATTTTTTTGTCGGAAAATGTATTGCTCATATTTATATTATAAAAATGTATTTTTGTATTTCCCTAGTGCTTTGCTTTTTGTTTGGGAATTCACTATTTGCCCATAGCTGGGAACCTAACAGGTGCTACCTGTTGGACCTGGAAACAAAAGCAAAAGCGTTTCCAGGCCCTTCAAAACCTCCACTATCTCGATCAGAGGCCTTGCTACCGGATGTAGTTCATGGTCATAACCAGTCGGTCCATGGTATTCTCAGCATCTTCCTGTTGAATCACATTTCTGTTGCTTGAAATTTTTCCTTCATCTGTGTTGTAGAGTAGTTTCACAGTGGAGGCTTGTATTTCACTAAGTCGGTCCTAAATTAGGTCCGACGTACAAAACGTTAGGAACTTGTTATAATAGTTAATGACGCAGCAATCTAGTTGTGGTGGTTGATACTTTAATGTCCGACATCGACTGACTCACCAACTCACTCAGCGACTTCGCGACTGCTACTACTACTTATATGAGGGAGAGTCTATTAACAATAGAATAGGTATGTTCCAGTATAATCTGTGAGATTGTCTAATATTCACTGCCATATAAGAGGACCGATAGTAGAACAGTCCATTACTCTTTTCTTTGTTTCTAACGATATGCTTAATGCTTTGCTTAGCTTTTGGAAGGCTTCTTTCGTTATCCCAATGCGCCTTCAGATTTCTGTATCGCACTGTCTGTCTTCTCTTAATACGTTTGCTAGCTATCTATATTCTTGAACCTGTTTGATTTTGATATAGCCAATCTCTAAGTTAGATGTTGATCTGTTACTTTTGCTATTTAGGTTTGCGTAAGAAATGCTCAACCAGTTGTTTCTGATGAAGCACTTTGGTCGAAACATCATAGGAATTTGGATTAAAGTCTCTCGATCACAGCGTCAGGCCCACAAATGGATTTGAATTCAAAGTTGTTACCCAGTCTGTCCTGCTATTTAACCCATAGTAAGGAGGATAATAATAATTTAATTCATAACTTTCCCAAAGGTATTTGTACATAAGTGAATATAACGAACCCAACTGGAATTGGAACTCGACTCTCTGATTAGCCTGCCCTTGGAATGACGATAAACTACATCCGACAGCAAGGCCTCGGATCAAGAAGTTCTGAGGAGCGTAGAATTACCTCTTAATTGCTTTGCTTACCAGGTCCACCCTGACCTGGTATGGTAGCACCTATTAGGGTCCCAACTATGGGAAAATAGTTAGCCTCCAAACTGGGGTCAAAACGTGTAAAAATAGATTTTATTAGCAGCAATACATTTTTGTCAAAAATTATTACCAGCAATTAATTTTTGAAGAAAATAATTATTATCAGCAATACATTTTGAAAAAAAAATATTACCAGCAATAAAAATCTTGTCGGCATTAAATAACACATTGAGGTTGGTATGCCGTCAATCGAAACAAACCAAATCAATATATACTGAGATAGATAGATAGATAGATAGAAAATATAACTAGTAAAAAAAAATCTTGTCGGCATTAAATAACCTCTTGAGGTTGATATACCGTAAAACAAAACAAACCAAACCAATATATACTGAGATAGATAGATAGAAAATATTACCAGCAATAAAAACCTTGTCGGCGTTAAATGGTCCATTGAGGTTGATATACCGTAAAACAAACCAAATCCCATCCGATTAGCAATTCCGAGTCGTCCTCTATTACACCACACGCACATCCAGGCTTACAGCATTTACAAGTGGTCACCCATCTAGGTACTGACAAGGCTCAACGTGTCTTAACTTCGGTGATCGTACGAGAACTGGTGTACAAAAAAAGTTGATTGATTCGTTCTTTACGGCTTATCAACCGTTTAAAGTCGAAAAAAAAAAAAAAAAAAGGTGTAGATTGTAAGAACTTCTTTTAGATAATAATGATTTAGTGATACAAGTCTTACTAATTTACCCATAGCAGGGAGGAGAAGAGGTGCATTTGCGCGTAAGTGAATATAACGAAACCAACTGGAATTGGATCTCGGCTCTCCGATTAACAATTCCGAGCCGTTAAGCATTTATCCGCATATCCAAGCTTACAGCACCTGGTATTCTCAAGCGGTCACCCATCTAGACACTGACCGGGCCTGATCCTGCTTAACTTCGGTGGTAATAAGAGAACCAGTGTTTCAACGATAAGTGGCCATAAGTGATTTTGTTCGTTTATTTATTTATGTATTTATTTAAGTGGAACAGGAAAATTTCAAACTGGGTGAACACTCAGTCGTAGTTGTTCTAGCGAGATAAGCTTGCTCACAATTACACTACAAAGTGGTCTGCGATTTTTTTAACCTTTTGAGCCCTGTGTTCCTTAACAATTTTAACCCTTTTACCTGAGTCAAAATTCGCAAATAATTGATATGTAATGTTTCACGGTAGATATAAAAATAGTTACAAGTGTTTACCCACCGTTCAACCGGTGGCTGGGCATTAAGTCATATTTATTTATACTTTCTGTTTTTTGATCCCAGTTTGGACGTTCACTGTTTACCCACAGCTGGGTCACTAACCGGTGCTACCATCCCGGGTCATGGGGGGCTGGGAACAACAGCAATTAAGATATGTTTCCACGCTCTTCAAAACCTCCTGATCAAGGGTCTTCCTGCCGGATGTAGTTTATCGTCATACCATGTACCGGAACCAGTTGCAAGCTATGCAAGACATCCGTAAGATTCGACGGAGCTATTTAACATCATGACTCATCTTCTTAGGTTAACCCTTTCAGCCATGCGTTCCTGAACAATTTTAACCCTTCTGTCTGAGCTCCTGAGTTAAAATTCGCAAATAATTGGTATGCAATGTTTCACTATAGATATAAAAATATTCACAAGTGTTTACCCACCGTTTAACCAGTGGATGGGCATCAAGTCATTTTTTTCTACCACTGTTCATTCGGTGGCTGAGCATTACGTCATTTTTCTCTACCACCGGTAAAGCGGTGGTCAGGTTTTAAGGAGTTAAGCGTAGCTTAGATGTGGCACAAAGCCGAAAGTGTGAGTGTGATGATCGAACTCACTAATTGATCTATCGGGACAAGCTTGTTAACCATTACCATCGAGGTAATCTTCGTCTGGTAAGTCGTTGAGTGAAAAGGAAACAGAATGCAACGCTTTATTAATTCATCAACTTTATGTAAGGTGTATGCGATTATGGCTCTCCACAACTTCCTGTCCTTTGCAGCTCAATAAATTTTGTCTTTTTTTCATTTCTCCGTAATCCCTGTTCTATCATCCATTTACTCAAGCTCATTCTTCTTCTTCTATGTACCATGTCATTTCAAGACTCAGTCGATCATGGCTCTCCACAACTTCCTGTCCCTTGTATTTCTTAATAAATTTTGTCTTTTTTTTCATTTCTCCGTAATCCCTGTTCTATCATCCATTTACTCAAGCTCATTCTTCTTCTTCTATGTACCATGTCATTTCAAGACTCAGTCGATCATGGCTCTCCACAACTTCCTGTCCCTTGTATTTCTTAATAAATTTTGTCTTTTTTTTCATTTCTCCCTAATCTCTGTTCTATCATCAGTTTACTCATGCTCATTCTTCTTCTATGTACCATGTCATTTCAAGACGCAGGTGATCATGGCTCTCCACAACTTCCTGTCCCTTGCAGCTCTTAATGAATTTTGTCTTTCTGTTATTTCTCCCGACCTTATTCCACTATCCATTTACTTATGTTCACTATGTTTAGCGTTGTTTTTCTCAGTATCAGATTTCCAAGCCCACTTTCCTCATTATGTTTCCTAGAAACCTCAACTGTCTCTTCCTGATGTTAAGTAGGTTTGCTTTTTGTTTCCATTTTCTCTAAAACTTCGTCATTGCTTACATGTTCTGTCCATGGTAACTACCGCATCCTTCTGAAGAACCACATTTCTGTTGCTTCAAGTCTCTTCTTCAGCTTCGTGAAGATTGTCCAGCCCAGCACTGACATAAAAGAGGACAAATATCACGAAAGAGTTTACAACTGTTTTCCTTGTTTCTTCTAGCAGGGATTATTTTTTTCAATTTCTTAGTACACTGCTTAGCTTTTGGAAGGCAATTTGGCTTTCTCAATACGCCTTCAAATTTCAATGTCACACTTTCCGTCTTCTGTTAAAACACTTCCCAGATATTTAATCTTCCGGACGTGTTTTGGTATCCCCGATTTGTAATTTGCATTTTGGGATTATCATTTTGCTAACAACCATGCATTCTGTCTTCTGGCACTTGACGTTTAATCCTTTCCTTTCGCTTTTCTTCCTTAATTTTCACCTCGCTTTCCTCCCTTAATTCTTTCCTCTCACTTTCCTTCCTTAATCCTTTCCTCTCGCTTTCTTCTCTTAATCCTTTCCTCTCGCTTTCCTTCCTTAATCCTTTCCTCTCTCTTTCCTCCCTTAATCCTTTCCTCTCGTCCCCCTTCCTTAATTTTTTCCTCTCGCTTTCCTATCTTAATCCTTTCCTCCCTTAATCCTTTGCTCTCGCTTTTCTTCCTTAATCCTTTCTTTTCGTTTTCCTTCCTTAATCCTTTCCTCTCGCTTTCGTCGCTTAATCCTTTCCTCTCGCTTTCCTTCTGTAGGAGTTCAGATCGTATGAAAATTCTCCAATTTCTCAGTCTGCTATCCATTGCACCCCCTTCCATTTATTCAAGTTCTTCTTTCATGTGTCGTGTCCACTCAGGACGTAGGCGATCATGGCTCTCCACAATTTCCTTTCTTTTATAGCTTTTAATAAATTTTGTCTTTTCGTTATCTCTCCTAAACTTTGTTCCACCCTCCATTTATTCAAGTTCATTGTTGTTCTTCTGTGTGATGTGTTTCTTCAGAATGTAGACGATCATGGCGCTCCACAATTTCTTTTCTTTTAAAGCTCTTAATAAATGAAGTCTTTTTGTTATCTCTCCTATACACTGCTCTATCAACCACTTAAGTTCGCTAGACACGTTATGCGTTTTTTTCCTTTGTCACTCTTGCTTTCAATATAGCCTGTGAGTATCTAATTTTCCAAACCCTCTTTCCTCATTATGTATCCGAGAAATTTCAATTCTCTCTTTCTAATGCTAAATAAGTTTACATTTCTTTTTCTATAAGACTTCGTCGATGCTCAGATGTTCGATCCATGGTATTCTCAACATCTTTCTGTAAGAACCACTTTTCTGTCACCTTATGTCTCTTCTTCATCTGTGAAGGACATTGTCTATGATTCACTGCCATATCGGAGGAATTACATCAAGTAATGGTTCAGTACTCTTTTCTTTGTTTCCAATGAAATTTTCTTCTTTCCTAATACTTTGCTGAGCTTTTGGAAAACATCTTTGTCTATTCCAATGCGTCCTTTTCAGTGTCACGTTTTCCGTCCTCTTTTAAAACATTTCCCAGATATTTAAATTGTCGTACTTCCTTGATTTTGTTATTTCCAATTTGTAATTCGCATGCTAGGATGTTTTGCTGACAACTATGCATTTTATGTTCTTTCAACTGAAGAATGGTAGATTTTTAGATTTGAAGAATGGACTCAAGCGAGAAAAAATGAGTCTGTTCCTCTGCGATAGGATTATCCAGCATTCACTAATATGTAGGAAACTCATATTATATAACACTTTAGTATTCTTTTCTTTCTTTTTCCTGTTTTTTAATACTTTGCTTAGCTTTTGAAAGGCATCTTTCGCTATCTCGATACGCCATCAGCTGTTTCTTTTGCTGACAACCATGCATTCTGTGCTCTTTCAAGTGATGTTTACTCCCTTTTTCTCGATTTCCTTCATTGCCTTCTGTGGGAGTTCTTTTTCCATTATCTGCTATCAAACACTGTGTCATCTGCATATCTTATGTTTGCATTATAAACCACAGGTTGGACCTGTGGGTGTTTAACACACAGAAATGTGCCGGAAGAAATGGTAAGTTTGGAACGGAGTAGCCATCTGGAAAATGCAGAACCACTGATTCGGAGTTTGCGTTCAAGTCGAAACAGTTCTGATGATGGACGTAATCAGGACAAAAAAAATGGCTCTTCAGTTGTTTTGCTAATATGTCAACGGAAAGTAGGCAAACATCAAAAATGCTGTACAACTTGTGAAAACTATTTACATTATTCGGACTATTGTACTCATCTTTATCGCCATGTTTATCACAACGTTTCGGCCGTTGTACTTCTTCAGGTGGTTGGAATGTCGAACTGAATCCTTTATTTCGCTCAGTGGGGTAGGCTGTTCTACTTCCATGTGACATGTCTAATTGATGTCAGTTATCTCCTGTTAATCCCCCTCTGAAAGTTCTCCACTACCATAACCAGGTATTGAACTCACACTCTTTGGGCCCTGTCACTGGATCTAACAAACACTTTATCCACTGTGGCATGTGTCCTTGAGGACATCTCTATATGAATTTCTGGGTATTATAAACCTAATGTCTTGAGTAACCGTTTTTTAACAGTGCTCATATTGCAATTTTTGCTGTTATCATTACATGATGTGAAACGTTGTGATAAACATAGCGACAAAGAAGAGGACAATAGTCCGAATAATGTAAATAGTGTACATAATATCAGAAATATAGACAAACTTGTGAAAAGTACGTCATACTTGAGATTGACATATCCCCATGTCGCAGAAATGAAACAGTTGCCAAAATTGTATTAAGTTCTAGATATATTTGAGAGTGATAGATTAAGCAGAAGCGATCATCCTGGGTGCTTAATTTCTCATTTCACTATCGATTACACCATTCGTACCTACTACCTTTCAAATTTTAATTCAATGTCAGACCTAAAAATATTACTCGGAAATAAAAAAAAATAAAAAAATTATATAATTATTTGCTACCGAAGAATTTTCGAAAAGTTAAAAACTTTTAAGGATGAGCCCGAAATGCGATTTACATGTCGGGGGCACAGACATCAAGAAGGTGAGGAAATTTAAACATCTGGGGAGTGTTTTGACAGAGGACGGTAAGTGTAATGCTGAGATCCGAAGACGTATTGGGATTGCCAAAGACGCATTCCAAAAGCTAGGCAGAGTATTACGAAACAGGAGGATTTCTTTGGTAACAAAGAAAAGATTACTAACCTGCTAAGTGATATCTGTATCCATCTTTACCGTAGCAAATGTTGGACGAAGACGAAGAAGAGACTCGAGGCAACGAAGGTATAGTTCTACAGAAG